ACTCACACCAGGCGCATGTGTGGGGCATGCCCAAAAACCTGAGAGGAAAATGGAGAAGGGATTGCAGTGTGGCCATCCCCCCTGGAGTGACCTCTCTCTTTGTCTCTCAGGCGAGCACAAGCATCCTATAGCAAAAACAAAACAAAACACTCTAAACAAATAATGAAGTAGCCTGGGTAAATTAACCAAGTTTTCAAACAAACCACCAGGCAGATTACCAAGTAGCATACCATTTCTCTTTCTTTCCATTTCATCACTTCCTACCTACCTAATACCTGGGCAAAGTAAAAAACACAATTTAGTAGTTAAGCAGAGAGAATCAGAATCTTGCCTTCACTACTGTGACCTTAGTACCTGCCCTGTGACCTTAGTTATGTTCTTAAAGCCTCAGTTTCTTCATCATTCTTCATCAGTAGGATAGGGACAATACTCTCCTCTTAGTGTTGTTGTAAGAATTAAATTATGTGAGATATAAAGTGTAAGATACACTTTCTCATAAAGATCTGAGAATAAATGGGCTGCAATAATTTATACTACTATAGTACTTCACAAACTTTCAAAGTGTTTTGCAAAGTATTAACTGTTTAATACAGACATAAAAAATACAAACCAAAAGCAATTTAAAAGAGAAAGAGAGAGAGAGAGAGCAAACAAAATGTTATGAAAACTTCTTCCATGATTCTGCAGCCCACAATAAGGTTAAAATCCTTCACTTCAACTTACAGCCTCTTTAAGACCAGACACCAACGTATTTTTTAGCTTCATCTCATATTTAGCCCTCTGTGTAAATCACTACTTTAATCTGCAGTACAGAACACACTTTCACAGTTCAAACTTGGGTCACACAATTTTTTCAACCTAGTTACCATTCTTAGCCTATCTGTCCCTTTTCCTATCTACTAAAATCTCATGAATCATTCTCTACTGATGCCTTCTCTAATCCTCCCTAGCAGAAATCATCACATCTACATCTAGGCCCAAAGCCTGTTGTTTAAACTTAAATCTATTTCATGCTGTCTAGTTAGATACCCATCCCCCCTGCCAGTCTTCCTGTTCACTAAATTTCTAGTTCAATATCACTGAACTAAATACACAGAATATAAAATATGATAAAATTAAAAACCACTTCTTTACGTATAGGACTATTCTTCTTGAAGGTAGAAAGTATTTCCATCATCTTTCTGGGTTTTTTTAAAGAATTAGTCTATTTAACTTTATGTATTTATTTATTCATTTTAATTTGACCAGAGACAGAATGAGTGAGTGAGTGAGTGAGTGAGAGAGAGAGAGAGAGAGAGAGAGAAAGGTGGGGGGGGAGTGAGAAAGTAAGCCACCAGTCCGGGACTCAAAACGTAGTCAGTCATGATGTGGGAGTCCAGCACCCTCAACTACCACGCCACCTGCCGGTCCCTCATCTTTCTGTTTTAACGGCAGCTTCTCTGACTTTCCTATTCTAAAAAAGCAGTGCAGTGTTAGCTTATTTTTTTTAATATCCAAAACATCCACTATAACAACACTGACAGTTTATGAGAAAATCTTTTATGCCTTATTCATTCAATGACCTATTTACTTTAATTTCCATTAAGTAGACAGAATTCAATGACATGTCGATCTACTTTAACTTCCACTAAGTAAACATACCAATCTCCTTTTGATATTCATTAAAAGAAAGGACTTCAGACCAACAAGTGGTGTAGAGGTTATGGTGCCAGATCCCACATGGTGGACTGCAAAATTTGAATCCTGGACTTGGTGGCTTGAAAGTCACACCAGGCACATGTGCCTGAGTGTCCGAAATCCTGAGAGGAAACTAAAGGACAAGGGACTGCAGTGTGGTCATCCTTCCTGGGAGATGATTTCTCACTTTCCCTCTCTCTCTCTCTCTTTGGCGAGCATATGTGCCCTACAGCAAAAATTATTTTAAAAAAGAAAAGAAGATAAAGAATGAACATCAAAATTAACTTTTGGCTTATGTAATAATTGGCTACAAAATAATATTTGATTAAATCATAAACTTTATTTTACAAATCACAATAAAAAACAATCTTATTGGGGCCGGCATAGTGGTTAGGGAGCTGGACTCCCACATGGCCAACCATAGTCCAAGTCCCAGACCTGGCGGTTTGCTTTCTCTCTTTCTCTCTCTCTCATCAAGTTAAAATAATAATAATAATAAATAAAATTAAGTAATTCTTTAAAAAAATTTTAAAATCAATCTTATTTCGTACAACACGTAAGTATACAACGGATGTCCAAAAAATTCATAGAAAAATGCTTATTATGAAAAAACTATGCAAGGATTTCAAAATGTCTTTGCATCAAAATAGACTCTATCTTTCAGGAACATTTGAAGTTCCCTCATATACATACACATATACATATGTATTTACTTAAAAGTTTTACAAGTATCAACTTATTTCATTTTTTTAAAGAGATATTTTTGCTATAGAGCGCATGCACTCACCAGAGAGACAGAGACAGACAGAGAGTGGGAAATTACCCCCCAGGAGTGATGGCCACACTACAATCTCGTCTCCATTTTCCTTTTAGAATTTTGGGCAAGCATGCACCGGTGCCTGGTCTGAGTTTTACGCTGCTGGGTCTGGGACTCGAACTATTCATTTTTTTAAAGAGACATTTTTGCTATAGAGCGCATGCACTCACCAGAGAGACAGAGACAGACAGAGAGTGGGAAATTACCCCCCAGGAGTGATGGCCACACTACAATCTCGTCTCCATTTTCCTTTTAGAATTTTGGGCAAGCATGCACCGGTGCCTGGTCTGAGTTTTACGCTGCTGGGTCTGGGACTCGAACTGTGGTTGACTACATGGGAGTACAGTGATGTAACCATTATGCCATTTGCTGGTTCCCCTTATTTTTTATTTACACAAACATGGCTGGAAAAATTATTTGTAACCAACAGTTTGATATGTTAACAGTCTACAGTGTAGGTAATAGCTAAGTAAACATGATTCTAAATACTTAAATACAAGAGGAATCTGGATTAGTCAATAAAAGGTGACAATCTCCTTTCTGATAATAGATAAACATTCTTAGTTATCTTTAATAATTCTACTGCAAATTTGCAAGTAAATTCTACAAACTAAGTTATTCTTGAGATATTATTCTCCACTTCTTAGACATACTAAAATATGTTTTTTTTTTTGGTTTGTTTTTTTTTGAGAGGTTTTTCACTATAGGGCACGTGCACTTGCCAGACAGACAGAGAGAGACATAGAGACAGAAAGCGAGAAATCACCCCCCAGGGGGGATGGCCGCGCCGCAATCCCTTCTCCTCCATTCTCCTCTCAGGATCTTGGGCACGCACGCACACGCGCCCAGCATGGGTTTTAAGCCACCGGGTTCGGGACGCGAACCGCGGTCGACTACGTGGGAGTCCAGTGACATAGCCATTACGCTAACTGCTGGTTCCCTAAAGTACGTTTTTTAAAGGGAATTGGGCAGAAAGTGAAGTAGGTCACCACCTCATTCAGTAATAGATTTGGTAAATTAATTTTTGCCCATCTTACTTTAATTTTATAACTATTACAATATACTCTTCTACATATCTCCCCTCCTTTCCACTACTTCCTCTTATAAGACAGTATGATTCAATCAAATGTGCAAAATCGCTGTTCTTTCTAATGCCATTTGTGATGGTAACTGCATTCTGTGAAACTTGAACTAAAATGGTAAAACAGACTGAAGCATTATACAATGGATTTAAATATTTGCATTTACAACTTCAGAGGCTGCCGCAGGCCACTTTAGATCCTTCTTTGCGTATTTTCTCTAAGAATGAGTCAATGGTTACTACGTAAATCAAAATATCTGATATGCAGAAACTTGCCACAAAATTATTCAGCATAGAGATGAAAACTAAAAATCTTAACCCTTTCTTAATGAGAATAAAGTTAAATATGCACTTTCCATTTTTCCTAGCTAGTCTCTATAATGAAAAGAATACTTTTTTAGGGCTTCTACCTGGAGCAGTGGTGATGTACTGCTCAGGATTAGGCAGATCCCACATGGTGATCACGGTTCAAATCTCCAACCTAGTCAGTTAAAACACACCTGGCGCGTGCACAAGTCCCCAGGATCTAATAAGCTGGAGGACTGGAGGACGGAGATTGTGGCATGACCAGACCCTGTGGAGGGCTCTCATTCCTCACTGGCGTATGCACACTCTATCTTGAATAAAGAAAAACAATTTTTTTTTCAGAGGTTTTTGCTATAGGGCGCATGCACTCGCCAGACAGACAGAGAGACAGAAGGCGAGAAATCAACCCCCCCACCCCGCCAGGGGGGATGGCCACACCCCAATCCCTTCTCCTCCATTCTCCTCTCGGGATCTTGGGCACGCACGCACAGGCGCCCGGCATGAGTTTTTTTAAGCCACTGGGTCCAGGACGCGACCTGCGGTTGACTACATGGGAGTCTAGCGACATAACCATTATGCTAACTACTGGTCCCCCCAAAATTTTTTTAAGTTTTTGTCATAGGGTGTGTGTATTTGCCAGAGAGGGACAGAGAGAAAGTGAGAAATCACACCCAGGGGGAATGGCTACACCGCAATCCCTTCTCCTCCATTCTCTTCTCAGGATTTTGGGCATGCGCACACATACACCCAGTGTGATTTTCAAGCCCCAGGGCTTGGGACACAAACGGCAGTCAGCCATGTAAGAATCCAGCGCCTTGACCACCATGCCACCTGCTGGCCCCAAGAAAAATATTTTTGTTAGTTTGTAAATTGAATAAAAATTACATTAAAGCAGTTGGAAATCACATAATTATTCATCATAGGTATTACATGATATCAAACATTGTTTAATTCTTCCTTCATTTAGAAACAAAGCTTTTAAGAAAAAGATGGTTTTTAAACTCTGGGCAGATATAATACTCCAATTTCAAGACACATTCGCCTCTGTTTTATAAAACAATTCACACTCAAGAGTATGTACTCGAAGCTTTAAATAGCCTTGGGTATAGAAAGACTCACCATCTGTATGGGTTTCTTGTGGAGATCCCGTTCGGTTACCAGTTTTTCCTGGTCAGTGACATAAAGACCTTTGTGAGCTAAAGCCTGGATTACAGCATCATGGCCCAAAAGGGGTTTTGCAGCGTCGCTCTTGAGAATGAGACTCCCAGCACGACAGTACAGCTCGGCCGACAGAAGCAAATTAACGACAGGTGGCTTGATGTGTTCCTGGTCATACTGATCTGTGTAAAATGGTTCTCGAAGTTCCTCTGGCACATTTTCTATAAAGATTAAGGGGAAAAAATTCTTTCAAAATTTACAAAAAAAACACAACTACTATTTATGTTATAGAACTTGAGTTCCTCTAAAAATAGTAAGAATCCTTAAACTGAAAAGATGATTCTATTGGCCCTTGGCTTATGCAGGGACTTCAGAAAGTTCATAGAAAAATACGGAATTAAAGTATGGTTTTTATTTTTGTGCAAAGAAACTTGAAATTCATGCATAGCTTTCTCAAAATATGCATTTTCAATTAACTTTTTGAAGACTCAAAATATCTAGAATGAGAGAAAGAGACAAATGTCTTTTATAGATGATACTGTTTCAAGTATATTCCAAAAACAGACTATAAAGCAAACAAACACACTTTTGAGTCTAGTGGCTCTGGGGACAGAATTCTCACATGCGTAATCAAATCTGCAGGATGAATTATGAGATTCCTACAAACCAGAGGCCAAATGGTGGCTCAGCAGTAATACAATGTGCTGCAAGGCTGGACTTGCACAGGAAGATCTGGGTGTGTGTGCTTGCTTGCTTGCCAGAGGGAGACAGAGAGGGAAAGTGAGAAATCACACTCCAGGGGAAATGGCCACACCGCAATCCCTTCTCCTCCATTTTCTTCTCAGAATTTTGGGTATGTGCGCTCATGGGGCTTGAATCCCAGATGTCTCTGTGCCACTGGGTGTGTGCACATGTGCATGCCCATGATTCTGAGAAGCTGAGGCTTGGTGGTGGATTGCAGTATGAGGATTGTTGGGAGTACTTGTGTGTGTGCATGCGTGTCTGTTTACATGTGTGTCTCTCATGCAAGGAATAAATAAACTTGAAAAAAATAAAATCCCTGTGCCAACAGGTGGCATGGCAGTGAGAGACAGAGAGACAGAAAGCGAGAAATCACACCCCAGGGGGGATGGCCACGCTGCAGTCCCTTCTCTTTCATTCTCCTCTCGGGATCTTGGGCATGTACACACACGCGCCTGGCGTGAGTTTTAAGCCACCAGGTCCAGGATGACTACATGGGAGTCTGGCAACACAACCATTAAGCTAACTGCTGGTCCCTCTCTCTGTCTTTCTGGCGAACGCACGCACCCTATAGCAAAAACCTCTCAAAAAAAAAAAAAAAATCAACCAGGTGCATTTGGATGCTTGCCCAAAAATCCCGAGAGGAAAATGGAGAAGGGAAGGCAGCGTGGCCATGGCCCCTGGGGTGGTGATTTTTCACTTTCCCTCTTTCTGTGTCTCCCTTTGTCTCTCCAGCAAGTGCATACACCCTATGGAGAAGGGGGGGGGGGGAAACGACAAAAAGACTTTCAATGACTCCCCTCTCATGTTAGCGACTGGGAAATGCACCACAACAGCTATTCAGGAGATTGCTAGACCTTGCCACCTGAGAGCGTAAACTCGTTGTCCCAAATTTTAAAGCTAATGAGTTGTAGAACAGGCACTGCCTAACTTACTCTTGTCTCTCTGCCTCACGGCCCTGAGTTTGTCTCTCATCTTGGTTAGCCTGCTAAAGCTACTGGGGGGAATTACGACTGCTGTTCAGGGAAGAGTTACTCTCAAAAATCCTACACTAGTATACCATAATATCCCTATCTCCATGTTCTCACTGACCACTCTCTACCATACTTGAAAAAAGCCCTCCTGGACACCCAACTGAAAAGCGCACATGAATGGGGTGTTTTACAATGGGACATTGAAGGAAACCAAATTCTCCTTCCAAGTTTCATTTCCCACTAGCCATTTCCCTTTGAGAATGCCAAGCACTACTCTCCCAGTGTCTTACTACCAAATCGACTTTAAAAGCTGCCTCTGCATCTGGCAGCAACAAAATTACTAAAACAAGCAGGAGAAACAAAGTTGTTTCACAAGTTTTCTTAACTTTGTTACTCCGCTTCTATTCCTCTACCTCTCCAAGCCTTACGTGGGTTCTATGCTCCTTATTAAAACAGCACAAGAATGAGGTTTTTCTCCAAAATGGAGAGGCAAGTCATCTGAGTTAGACGTTAACAGAGAGCTACAGTTAGAGAACCTGACAGCTCTGGCCGCAGACTTACACAGTCCCTCCCCTGCCTTCTCTGTAAAGTGAGGGTCTGAGGCCTGCCGTCTCGTCACTGGCTTGAGCAGACTTCTCAACAGGCGACCTGAATATAAGCTCAATAGTGCCACAGCTCTGATCAAAATTGGCATTTCAAAAAACGTATTCACAAAGTATTACTATATTCCTTAACAACCGTCACCTTCAAGTTTTTGAAAAGCTGGGCCAGCCAGTGGTGTAGTGATGAAGGCTCCTGGATCCCACATGGGACTGAATCCTGGACTCGGTGGCTCAAAAAACACACTAGGCACATGTGCATGCATGCCCCAAATCCCTAGAGTAGAACAGAGGCAGAGATTGTGGTGCAGCCATCTTCCCACTCCCAGGGAGGTGATTTCTCACCTCTCTCGTGCTCCCTCGAGTACGTGTACCCTCTATAGCAAATTTTAAAAACAAACAAAAATTTTGAAAAGCTCCTATATTTATCAATAGAAAATTATCCTTATCATACAATATGACAGTAACCATTGCATGTTCGTTTTATATAACTGCATGATTTGGGGGAATTCAAGGAATCAGAAATATTCCTCAACTTCAAGAAGTCAAAAATCTACAAAAATTCTAGGCATACAAACAAGTAAAGTTAAGCAATTCAGAAATTAGAAACAATATAATATTAAGTAGTAAGTGATTAAGAGTCAACTGAATAATGAACGAGTAAGCACTTAAGAATTCAGAAGAGGAAATATCACAGTGGGTTGTCATGACTTTCTCTTAAAGAAACAGGATAGAAAAAACAGGCAGATTAGTCAGAAAAAAAGCTTTCTAAAACAGATGGACAAAGAACAGAGGCAAACACGATGTGAAGAGACACCAAATTGAACAGTCTAGTGGAGAGATGTGAGAGACAGGCTGGAATGGAAGCACTCGGTGGTTGAGAGGTATCTCTTAAATATGAGGCCTTTAGCTAACTAGGAGTTGCGGACAGTTTCACAGGGGAGTGACACATTTAAGAGTGATGTTTTAGGGTGATTCATCTAGATTCGATGTTAATGGCTATAGAAACCTGGGATGGAAGATTATTTCATAGAGATAAGGAAATGAACTTGAAGGCAGTGGTGAAAACGGAGTGACAGGCATAACAGGCTGCTGGAGACAAACCCAAAGGTGCTCGGGAACAAAGCAGAGCGCGAGGTCATGGTGGAAATCAAAGGCAATCGAGCCTGGGTTACAAGGGAAATGGCGACATGGATTAACAACCGTCACCTTCAAGTTTTTGAAAAGCTGGGCCAGCCAGTGGTGTAGTGATGAAGGCTCCTGGATCCCACATGGGACTGAATCCTGGACTCGGTGGCTCAAAAAACACACTAGGCGCATGTGCATGCATGCCCCAAATCCCTAGAGTAGAACAGAGGCAGAGATTGTGGTGCAGCCATCTTCCCACTCCCAGGGAGGTGATTTCTCACCTCTCTCGTGCTCCCTCGAGTACGTGTACCCTCTATAGCAAATTTTAAAAACAAACAAAAATTTTGAAAAGCTCCTATATTTATCAATAGAAAATTATCCTTATCATACAATATGACAGTAACCATTGCATGTTCGTTTTATATAACTGCATGATTTGGGGGAATTCAAGGAATCAGAAATATTCCTCAACTTCAAGAAGTCAAAAATCTACAAAAATTCGAGGCATACAAACAAGTAAAGTTAAGCAATTCAGAAATTAGAAACAATATAATATTAAGTAGTAAGTGATTAAGAGTCAACTGAATAATGAACGAGTAAGCACTTAAGAATTCAGAAGAGGAAATATCACAGTGGGTTGTCATGACTTTCTCTTAAAGAAACAGGATAGAAAAAACAGGCAGATTAGTCAGAAAAAAAGCTTTCTAAAACAGATGGACAAAGAACAGAGGCAAACACGATGTGAAGAGACACCAAATTGAACAGTCTAGTGGAGAGACGTGAGAGACAGAATGGAATAGAAGCACTCGGTGGTTGAGAGGTATCTCTTAAATATGAGGCCTTTAGCTAACTAGGAGTTGCGGACAGTTTCACAGGGGAGTGACACATTTAAGAGTGATGTTTTAGGGTGATTCATCTAGATTCGATGTTAATGGCTATAGAAACCTGGGATGGAAGATTATTTCATAGAGATAAGGAAATGAACTTGAAGGCAGTGGTGAAAACGGAGTGACAGGCATAACAGGCTGCTGGAGACAAACCCAAAGGTGCTCGGGAACAAAGCAGAGCGCGAGGTCATGGTGGAAATCAAAGGCAATCGAGCCTGGGTTACAAGGGAAATGGCGACATGGAGGGAAAAAGAAAAACCAGAGGCGGCACCAATTCTGAAGCGAGATCATACACTCAGTTTTAGACCTGATGAATCTGAAATGATAGCAAAAATATCCATGTGGAAATATCCAATGAGCGGCTGGAGATATAGGGCTCTGGAAAGAGGTCAAGAGTAGATGTATCAATTTGGGATTTTGATGACATCTAAAAATATCATTCTCATTTAATAATTGAAAACACTTTCCTTCCTTCACAGCTGCATCACTCATCAGTGAGACAGCCTTAAACTTAACAGCTCTACGTGATACAAAAGCTGAACTGTACACTCAGAATATAGTCTACTGCTGGTACCCATTGAAATTTTACTAGCATAAGAACTAAGAAGCTATTTAGTAGAACAATAATAAAATTATTTGATTTTCAGATAACTATTATAAATGTATGCGTAATGGATTTTTATTTCCTATTCTTAAAAACACCAAAAAACTAACAGGGCCAGCAGGTGGCATGGTGGTTAAGGAAATGGATCCCACATGGCCAACTTCATGGTTCAGATTCCTGAAAAACACACCAGGCATGTGTGCCCAAAATCCCGAGAGAAGAATGGAGAAGGGACTGCAGCGCGGCCATCCCTTCTGGAGAATGCCTTCTCACTTTCTCTCTCTGTCTGTCTCTGTCTCTACAGTGAGCACATGCACTCTAGGGCAAAAAAAAATCTAAAAAGAAAAAAGAAAAAAATGAATATAGGTGACTTGGCATCTGAACATTAGTTGTACAAAGAAAAGTCAGTGCTCATTATCAGTATCACAAATCTATCAGACTTATACATCCACCTAACATTTGCTTACTGTTCTTAAATCCATTTTCACACATGATCTTTTAACATCTTGGTGAAAATAACAACTCAGATAATACATAGATAAGGAACATGAAAATATGCTAGCATTTATTAAGGACCTTGTATGTGTCAGACACTGTCCTAAATATACATTCTCTCACTTAATCCTGACAACCTTCTTATTATCTCTATTTTACAGATAAGGAACACAAGGAAGGTTATCTTTCCCAAAGGCACAGGCTAATCAAACACAATTCTAGGTATAAAAACAGATCCAAAACCAGCAATGGTTTGCCAAGATCACAAGGTGGAAGGTGGAAGACAAGGAACCCAGGGATTGTTTCTGTAAGGCACACGGCATACATACAAACCAAAATTGTGAACCCGTGTAAGTTTTACAAAGACCCAATGCAAGGAAGAAGGAAAGGATCCATTAGAAATCAAAAAATGTTTCACAGAATGCAGTTCAAGTTTCACAAAATGACCAAAAAAAAGGCAAACTTTTTTTTCAACTCCAGAAAGAATGCAAAACTGCATATTTGGAATTATAAAATAGATCACTTTTTTTTTTTAGGGGGGGGTAATTTACCATAGGGTGCATGCACTTGCCTAAGAGACAGAAAAAGAGGAAAAGTGAAAAAGCATCCTCCCGGGGTGATAGCCGCACTCCAATCCTTGTCCTCCATTCTCCTCAGGATTTTGGCCACACATGCACACACACCCGATGTTTTTCAGGCTGCTAGGTCCAGGACTCAAACTGCACAGTCAGCTATGTGGGATCCAGACAATTCAACCACCTGACTGGCAAAAAATAGGTCACTTTAAAAACAAGTTTTCAGGGACTGGCAGATGGCATAGTGGTTACATCGCTGGACTGCCACATGGCTCACCATGGTTCGAGTCTCGGCCCCAAAGGCTTGAAACTAACACTGGGCATGTGTGTGTACATGCCCAGAGTCCCGAGAGAAAAAGGGATTGGGGAGTGGCCATCCCCCCAGGGGGGGGTAATTTCTCGCTCTGTTTCTGTCTCTCCAGCAAGAAGTATTGAAGATGCCACCCAAAGGAAAAAGTGGTTCTGGAAAAGGGGATAAAGGGGGAGCAGTGTCTAGGAGTGATAGTGCTGACAAGAATGCTCAGGGTCCCAAAGGTGATGGCAATGCAATAAAGGTCAGACACATTCTATGTAAAAAATGCAGCGGGAACCAGCAGTTGGCGTAATGGCTATGTCACTGGACCCCCACGTAGTCGACCGCGGTTCACGTCCCAGGCCCGGTGGCTTAAAACTCAAGCCGGGCGCGTGTGCATGCGTGCCCAAGATCCCAAAAGGAGAATGGAGGAGAAGGGATTGCAGCGTGACCATTCCCCCTGGTGGCTGATTTCTCGTTGTCTGTCTCTATGTCTCTCTCTGTCTGTGT